GTGCTGTGAAACTGAAGAGAAGATCCACCAAAAATGAACATTTACATCCCTATTCCACTCTTCTGAAAAAAGAAAAAGTGTTTAATGACTTCTTTTCCTTCCTGGTTGTTGGTTGAAACTTGCTCAATGATTCTGAAATGCATTGGCATGATGGAACTAGTGGACATTCACATAAAATATTTAGATGTTTTTAGTTCATTTGGACTGCATTAAGCTTTCATGCACAACTTTAACCTGACATCTGTGCCTTCTCTCTTTCATGCAACCTTGAAACTGCTCTCCAGGTCTTTCTAGCAAAAGAGAGTGGTAATCTCAGTGGGACTGGTTAAATTGAGGTTATAGAAAGTAAACCAATATCACTTCAGTTCTGCTTTGGGGTGGATTCCCTTTTCTGTAGCCTTAGAAGTCCCAGAGCTCATCTGGAAACACAGTTTATCACCCCTGCAGCAGTAACAGAGGTGCAACTGGCTCCCCCGAGATGCAAAATGGAGTCAACACACTATTTCTGTGGAAAATACTTCTCAGTGGTTCAGGAGCTACAGCTTTTATTCTCTGTGCTTCAAAGTAATGTCTTGAAAAGTAATTTATCCAAAGCGTGTATTCGCTGTTAGTGTTGGCTATTATCAGTGCTTTAAATAGTGAAAGTACAGCACTGAGCAATCAAGGCTGTTTTATCCTTGGAACAGACATTTTGACGGTACAACAAAGTCAGAAAAGGGTTAGTTTATCGAATACCTGCAGGAGAAGGATCCATATGAGTGTCTCCAAAGCAAGAGAGTGCATCAACACAAGAAAGTAATGGCTTCTCTAAATACTATATAATTATAAATGATCCCCTACATAGAGGCTGGACGGATCAGGATCTAATGTTAAACATCTCTGTGTACTTTTTTTCATGTATATTTAAATATGCTCGTCACACATTTGAATCCTCTGCTCCATCACGCCTGCATATTATTATACCGTAAGCGTGATGTGTTTACTAAAGTATTCTACTGTCATATAAAGTTCTTCATTAGGGACATTTTTCTGCAGTAACAGTATTGTACATGTTCATGCATTATAGAACGTGACCTCTCTAACATGGCCCAGTAATGGAAACACATTTGATTGTAAGATAAGCTGCTTTAATTTGATAGATCAGCATTAAACAAGGACAGAATGTTCAGTGTTGGAATCATAAATAAACTAGTTGTTTAGGGAACTTTTCCTCTTAATTACCTCCCAGCATCTCTTCTCCTGGAGTATTCTGATTGATGGCCCCAGTGGTAATGTTAACTGTGCTTGTATTAGTCTGTGCACGTCAGATGATTGGTAGGATTAACGATTCTTTAGTCTTCATAATGCAGCAACATACAATTCCTGATATTCACTTATCTTTTGGTTTTTTGTGTGCTACTCCAAGACATCCAGTGGCCCCATCTGTCCACTACTTTACACAATTTCTGGAGGCGCCTCTGTTTACTAGCAAGTTTAAGCCAACATCAGGATTCTCTGCTGGCCACCAGTCAAGGCACTTGTTTTTGGAGACATTGTGCTGTTTATTT